CCTGTAACCTAGTGTTCAGCGTTATCAATTTCGGGTAAGCTGCAGATGCGGTGCTCGGCACACGTGTGATTCTTATTGTGTCAGACATTTGAAGAGAGACACCACAGGTTTCATAAAAGCAGGCGCATTTATCAATGCCAGGGAAGCAAACGGCTGGCCTTCTACATGGGGACTCCGTCTGTGTCTGTGGAAGAGACCAGCATTCCGCGCACCTTGGTTCATGTCCATAGCAGCCCGTCTGATCTCCCCAAACTCTTGAGCACAGGAACCCACAGCTCCCAACTTAACCAGCCCCCTTCCAGCAGGCTGGGCACTCCAGTGCCCTTCAGGGCATCCGGAAGACCAAACACAGACAAACCCTGGCTCCTAAGGATGACTAGAAAGCGACCATGGCTTGTGGACACCCAGCCCGCCAAGGCAGCCTTCCCCAAGTAAGGAGCCTGCGGCAACTGAACTGCTAGAAAGGCAGGACATTATGGCTGAGGGCCTGAAACAGTGCTCTTCACCAAAGGCTATACTTGGCTCTCCAAGATCCGCTTAGCCACACTGTCAGCAATGGGCTTCTCTCTCTTTCTGACTACTGCCGTGGAGCCGAAATTTCACAACCATCGTCTCCATTGTCTCATCATCTGCCCTCACCATCACCAGTCAAGGGTTACCCTGCACTTCCAAAACCGAGCCTCACGTTTGGTGAGCAGAATCACTCAAAAGACTCGCTAGGTCCTAAGGAGTGGTCCTCAGCCCTGGCCCCTGTAACCTGGTTCAAAAGAAGGAACCCAGTCTCCCGAATGGATGGCTCAACAGTTAATTTGAAAAGCCAAGTCCAGAAAACTTTCTAACGTAAAAGTCCTCTTCTCCGTTAGGACTGCAAAGGTGCAGGCCTTAGTAACCACTTTCCAGGTGCAGGGAGTGACCCGGGGACTTGGTTTTCAGCCTGCTTTAGGGATGATGGGCCACACTGCTACACACTGGCCAAGTCTGAAGTCTAGAAAATACGTTTTCAATTTTCCGTTGGAAATGCAGACATGCTTTAAAACGTCAGCAGTCATCTTGCTTATACACAAGATAGGTCAGCATTTTCGGCATCAGCCTAGTCGGTTCCTCATATCCTTTTGGGCTTCCGTTAGTTTCTGGATTAGATAACGTTTGTCACGACTTTCCTAAAGAAAAAAAGAAGTGAGTTGAAAAAGACAGTTATCATTTGGGAGGCAAATAGCATTATTTTCTACATCGTAAGTTAACTATCAGACTTGAGGCTGAGGATTCAAACCATTGGCCCTTTCCTTGTAAAGGTCTAGTTTCCCTCTTCCCCCTGGTTCCCCTAAACTACCACCCCCGCACAGCAACCGAGGAGCTTGGAAACATGTACATCAGGCATGGGAGGAACTAGTTGAGAAATAGAGCTGATAGGGAGCTATTAAAAACAAGAAAACTCCTACAATTCAACAACAGAAAAGAATAGCAGCCCAGTTTAAACAGGGGCAACGGGCATGAGCTGACATTTGACCAGCCAAGGTCTAGAAATGGCCAGTACGCTCAACAATGTCTGAGGGAAATGTCAACTGAGACCTCAGTGAGATACCACTTCACCCCACTAGGATGGCGGTGACCCAATAAAACACAAAACCACCACCGTGGGCAAGAACGTCGAACTCCTCACCCACTGCTGATGGGTTTGTCCGTGGTGCCGCCACTGTGGGAATCAGCTGTTGGAATTCTTCAAAGAGGGAAACATGGGCTTTCCAAGGGGCCAGCAGTCCCATTCCCAGATACACACCCAAGAGAAGCGGAAACTGGGGCACAGACAGACATTTGGACCCCAAGGTCCAGTGCAGCACTGTTCACACCACCCCAGGGCCTGTCAACAGAGGAATGGGTACACAAAACGTGCCCCACACATACAATGGTATCAGACTCGGTCATTAAGAGAAATGCAGTCCTGACGGGCCACAGCAGGGGTGAACCGTGGGGACATTATGCTGAGGAAAGTAAGTTGTAAAAGGACAACTGTCAGAGGAAACCAGCCTCTAACCAAAGGGTCCGCAGGTGCAAGTTGTATGGCGATAATGTATCAAGGTGATAGTCAAGTCCTAGAAGATAAGGAGAGAGAGGAAAATAAAGGAGCCAGACACATTTTATGGGAGCATGCTCTCCTTAGCCCCTCTTGGTGGTCCACTTGGAGGTGGGAGAAGAGGTGGGAGTATTTATTATCTTGGGATATTTATAGGTAGCCACAAGACATGCATATTCAGTAGTTACATACATCACAAGGTGGTGGTAACTACAGTAAGGTCCCTGAGCTCACAGGTGAGGAAACCTAATACCTGCATTGGGGGAAGATATAAGGGGGGCTGGGCACCTGTGGGAGGAAGGAGATAACAAAAGAAGGTCTGCTTCTATAGGGAGATAGAATCAACCATGTGCTCACTTTAAGGCAGCATAGCTGTTTGGGGAGAATTTGTGGGAATGATATTTGAAGCAGGATCATGGACTTGGACTTTATCTCTAACATACCAAAGTGGTGGCTTTCCTCCCGTGGAATACTAGCTTTCCAGATTCCCTCTGTTATAAGTTAGGGAATATAGTCCCAGTCATACTTCCCTCAGTGCTAGTTTCCCACAGACAACCATGGCATGGTCTCATGAAGTATCTTGAAAGGCAAAAGCAC